AGGGACTCCCCACCGTTTCTCCTTTACTGCCGGTTCTCCTTCCATGGCGATGAACAGCGCAAAATCAAGAGGAAAAAATACGTTTATTTTATTTTTTTTAGTTTTGTTATATAGCTTGTACGCAAAATGCAGCTTTTTTGTTGTAGAGGCTGGGTTAGAAGCTGAAGAATTGGGGGGGGGGGGGGCGCCGACTCAGCAGGTTTAATTCTGTTGCCTTTAATTCAGTGCTGCTTAAATTTGGCTGCTTTAAGATGGGTGGACTTCAACTTCCAGAATTCCCAAACCAGCTTGGGGAATAAGCCTTATCTTCGATTTGCTTTTGTATATAAAGATCTTTTCCTATGTAACATACTACTACGTTAATAATGCTAAGACCCAGCTTTGCTAACCCAGTACTAGTTAGATATTTGGGGAAGTTCAATGCCAATTTTTTCTGGCTTATGCATGGATTAAACACATACAAAACCAATTTAAATAGTTGAACTCCACCCATCTTAAAGCAGACTTGAGAAATAGCAATAGAACTCAAGACTTATATTCCACTTCATAGTGTTTTACAGCCCTCTATAAGCAGTTTTCAGAGTCAGCATATTGCCCCCAACAATCTGGGTACTCATTTTACTGACCTTGGAAGATATGAGTCAACCTTGAGCCCATGAGGCTCAAAGGAATCAAACTCCTGGCAGTGATGGCCATACACTGAATGAGATGCAGAAAAGTTTCTGGATAGGAGGTGAACTGGATCCATTTAGTTGAAGAGATACCATAGTTTTAAAAATATACTCAGGACGGGAAGAAAATGATTTGAAGAATGTATATTCCTTGAGTTGGTTCAGATGGGGAATATACAGTATTGCCTTGCCTTCTGTGAAGCAAAATACAAAATAATCAAAGGATTAGCTTGCCTCGGGCAGTTGTGGGTGCTCCATTACTGAAGGCTTTCAAAAAGACACTGGACAACCATGTGTATGAAATGATTTAGGGTCTCCTGCTCGAGCAGGATGGGTGGGTGGGTGGGTTAGGAGACCTCCGAGGTCCCTTACAGCTCTATTATTCTATGTGCTATATTCTAAGCTTGAATACAGGAATTATGTTTAATATATTCATTGTGTTCCGCAATAGGAATCGTGAAATGACTTTTTTAAAAACTCTGTTTGAATGCACGTGATGTTGGCCTGTGGTGATGAAGTTCAATACATCTGGCATGTGCCAAGTCAGAGATGTGATCCAGGTGGTTCTTCAATTTGTTCAGGACAGTTTGCCTCCAGGGGTGGGTTCTGCACGACTTTACTGCCGGTTCGCTCGTGTGCATTGGATGCGCACTGCACATGCATGCACAGTTCAATTAAAATTAAGTCCAGATTGAAATACTTGGAAGCATATATATGACCAATGGCTAGATATTCAATAAACAGGCAGTGCTCCAGAGACTCTCTTTGTTCCCCAGTACTATTGTTTTGGTGGACAGAGAGAGGGGGAGAGGGAGAGAGAGAGACAGAGAGAGAGAGAGAGAGAGAGACAGAGAGAGAGACAGAGACAGACTGACTGACTGACTGACTCTTGAGTGGTGTGGTGGCCTAGAGATGGAGCTTTCACTTCACAATCAAGAGGCTGTGAGTTCGAGCCTAGGTAAAAGTAGATATTTCTCTCTCTGAGCGTAATGAGAATATATCTGATAAATAATTAATCAAGTATAACTCCGCATTGATGACAGGAAGGGCATCCGGCCAGCAAACACTCAGCTCTATTCAGTTGCCCTGACTCTACCCAGATGCAACAGATTATGGGATCATTAAAATAAAATAAATAGAGAGATAAACTGATAGATTAGATAATATAGACTGATAGAGTGATAGATGATTGAAAGAGACATAGATGATATATAGACAGAGAGACAAATAGTTTATAGAAAATAGAAGATACATGTTTAGATAGATGATAGATAGATAGATAGATAGATAGATAGATAGATAGATAGATAGATAGATNGCCGAACTGAGGACCTTTCTGATCGACAAGCTCAGTGTCACTGAACCACCGCATCCCTTTCATATTTAGCTTACAATTACACAAAAAAGTATCCAAAAATAGAATATGGTGTACCTTGATAACTTCCATGATTTCCCGTCTTTCTTCACTAGCAAAGAGTAGCTGGTTGGTGGCTCCTCGGTCATCATGTTTAAATCCATCCTCTTCCACGTAAGGAATGAGCTGCTATAAATGTGGGGGGAAACCGTATATTAAGACAGAGAGTATCTGAAGGAATCTGGTGTGAGAAGCTATGTCATAACAATGTTAATTATGGTAAATATGAAATTACAAAAATGTTTTTTTTCCTAACAGTATTTATATTATACGATCTGTTTTTTGGATGTAAGATGTCTCCAAGCAATAAATATATATTTTGCCTTTTACCAACTTAAAACTTTTTTTCAACCACGATCAAAGCCATAAGCAGAAAATACATTAAATTTCACCATCTGGAAATCATGATGGATACTGTATGTAAGCTGATCTGGATCTTCTGGCAGATCCTTCAGTTATCTTCAGTACATTAGCTCTCAGTAGTGTTACAGTAAGAGCAATAAAATCATTTCCCCTCTCTTTGTTGTGAGAATTGAGGTAAAGCAGGAGAGTATTTTTGCAGAGAGAATTATTTCTAAACTCTTGGTTTAATGGACCTCAGCTGAGTGGACTTCAGATATAGTGGACAAAGATTTCATTTGGGCTTCATCCCATTTAGCAGACAAATGTCTATTAAATTGAAGATTTGTCTACTAAATTGAAGTTTTAGTGCTAATGGTGCTATTTGCATCAGTTAGGTAATTATGCAAACAATATAAATGGATATAAACAAGATAAATTTGAACTTTACAGACATTTGTATTTAATGGAACCCTCCTTTCCCAATGAGCCATTAAGTCAAGATTTTTTCAGTCCTTATTACTAGCATTTGGGTGTATCCATTTTAATCCAGGTTTCACATGGAGAATTTTGGGATTTTAGAATAAATGAGATTTGGAAACAAATCAGCTTCCCTCTTCTTCAGTTCTGGATGAGAGGTGGTATTCAGCAGGTTCTGACCAGTTCTGGAGAACCAGTAGTGAAAATTTTGGGTAGTTTGGATGGGTAGCCACCTCTGACTGGCCCCACCCCCATCTATTCTCTGCCTCCCTAGTCCCACCTGATTGGGAGGAAATAGGGATTTTGTAGTAACCTTCCCCTGGAGTGGGGATAGGGAATGGAGATTTTACAGTATCCTTCCCCTGCCACGCCCACCAAGCCACACCACGCCCACCAAGCCACGCCCACAGAATCAGTAGTAAAAATATTTGAATACCAGATATTTGTGTCTGTCTCCCCTCTCCATTTCACTTACTTCTATTGGAATGGGTTCAAGTCCTGCACAATTCTCATTGCACTTATCGTATACCAATCTCAGTTTCCGAAACAGTATTGAGAGTTGGCGCAGATGTTCTTGCAGCTTTCCCAATCTATCTTGATATGTGCCTGTATGGTAGGTGACACCATTTGGAAGCTGGAATATTTGAACATTTAATAGCAAGAAATCAAATTTTAGCCATCCTTGAGAATATACAATGACAAAAGAAAACCTCACTCATTTCTTCCACAAGCATGAAAAGTTTTTGACAAAAACTTTGTTAGTTTCCAAAGCTACCTGAGTCTATACTTCCTTCCTTCCTTTCATTGAAGCATGTAACAAAATAGAAAATAATAATCAAAAATTAAAACATCACCATTAAATTATCTGACTTGCCTACAAAATATGTTTTTGAATATTGGTTGAATTTTTTCTGGAAAAGAATTCCATAGCCAGAGCTACTTTTGAGAAGATCCTACTAGAAGCATTTTCCTCTTATTTTAAGAACATTTTTGCATATATTATGATAGATCAGAGAAGCCTGAATCATCAATGGCAATTTAGAAGTAGAATAATATACCATATATCATATTATATATCATATCATATAGGCTGATAGTAAGTCTGCAAGTAGCACTTTGATTATTAGCATGTTCCCACTCCTATTTTCTAAAAATAGTTCCAGAAGCCTCTAATACAGGGGTCCACAATCTAGTCGTAGTCAGAATAGAGCTGGAAGGGACCTTGGAGGTCTTCTAGTTTAACCCCCTCATCAAGAAGGAAATCCTATGCATTTTGAGACAAGTGGCTCTCTAGTTTCTTTTTAAAAACCTCTAGTGATGAAGCACCCACAACTTTTGAAGGCAACATACAACTTTTGAAGCTCTTCAGCTCATTGATGCCTTCATGAAACTTCAGTGTTCCTTGACACCCAAAGTTATTTTATGAAAATAATTTAATAAATACTATTTTAGCTAATAGAATTAAGAATTATGTAGCATCTCTTGACTGAGATGGGTAGCCATAGAAAATGAATAAACAAACAAACAAATAAATAACAATTATTGGTAGTCCCATTGATCCTTGGAAATCGATAGGGATCGGTTGCTGTAATGCCAAAGTTATTATGTAATATCCTAGGAAGGCAGTTTTGTTACTGAAACAGTGTAATAATAAAACAAGAACATTTAAAACAGATTTTAATGGGATATGTGGGACTGCAAAATTCTGCATTATTCCTAAACTCTGGGATTCTATTTTTAAAATGACCACTGCCACTTTTCATATTTATTCTGGATCAATATTTCTGCCTTATAACAGAAGTTAAAGAAAATTCTGATCTTGTCGTTAGCTTGTCCAAGCATATTATGAGCAAGTTCTGACACCAATGTTATGTTTTTATGCAAAGGCACCACCAGATTTGTGATTCCCCTTAGGTTTGCTCGCAAAGTCCTGAAAAGCAGAAGGGGATCATAGACTTCATCTTCAAAATTTCTGCATTAAGAGAATCTGATAGCGATCAGTTGAACATATATGTGTGTGTGTGTGTGTGTGTGTGTGTGTGTGTGTTAAATTCAAGGGGCACATCAAAACAATTTTCTTTGATATTTTTTTTCTTAAATTTTGAATAAAGAATATTATTCTGCAACTGGAGAACTGTAAACTATGTTTTTAAAACAGTCCATATAAAATCTCTAGATTGCTAAAAGAATACTGGCTGAATACATAGACATTCTCAACAAATTCAGTGGAAATATGAATTATATTAAAAATAATCCTAGGTAATCAAAATAAAACAAGAAAAGTTAGGATAATTATTTTAGAATTTAAAGATTAAAAACTGGGGCAGAATTATTCTTAGAAATAAAAGTGAATATGGGGAAAATCCTAAAAATCTACCAACTATAGCTAGCAGTGTGCATCAGCTGCCAAAAAAGCCAACACTGTTCTAAGCTGCATAAACAAAGGGATAGACTCAAGATCACATGAAGTGCTATTAACACTTTATAATGCCTTGATAAGGCCACACTTGGAATACTGCACTTGGAATACTGCCACAAAGAAGAGGAAGTCAAACTATTCTCCAAAGCACATGAGGGTAGGACAAGAAGCAATGGGTGCAAACTAATCAAGGAGAGAAGCAACTTAGAACTAAGGAGAAATTTCCTGACAGTTAGAACAATTAATCAATAGAACAACTTGCTTCCAGAAGTTGTGAATGTCCAACACTGGAAATTTTTAAGATGTTGGATAACCATTTGACTGAAGTGGTGTACNGATAGATAGATAGATAGATAGATAGATAGATAGATAGATAGATAGATAGATAGATAGATAGATAGATAGATGATAGATAGGACAGGCAGGTATAAATATAACATGAATATAAGTTTAACCGTGATCTGCTCAACCTGTCTGATGTACCTGGGAAACGGCCCTGCTAAAGCTTGCACATTTGTCATTGTCAGAGGCAGAGATGCTTGAAGAAATACAGCATATAATTAGCAATCTGAGCTAGGATCCCCTTCTGCATCTAAGAATAAACAATGCTAACAAGCATCAGATGCCAATAACTGTATCCTGGGCACTTGGTATCATGGCGATGCTTGCAGTTTGCTACTGATGGTGTCTTGCTTAACTCGAATGAACTCAGATGAAGTCTCCAGCTGGAATGACCCAACTTCAAGGATTTTGACACTAACAGGATGTAGAATGTGCAATCGTGTATGCCTATCCTAGGAATCAATTATTTAGTTCTCATCCATCCTTTTTAAAGAATAATGCATTGTTTATGTTCCATGTTTTCATAAGAGGTCTATTTTTGATACTTACAGATAGCTCTATAGTTCATTCTGCTCTCACTAAAAGCCTTCCACATGTGCTCCTTATTTATTATCTCTATTTATATCCCTGGTTTGTGTGCATGGGACATCCTCAGACACCTTTTTATGGATGATGGAGCTTGTAGTGTAATCAAACAAAAAGATTCAAGAGAACCCTGAGAATGAGAGGTTTCTTTCCTTTAAAAAAAATTCTCTTCAAAGGAACACACTTCCCAGAAAAATGGAAGATGGATTTGAGCACAAGATTAATTCATGACAGATATAAAGCCTTTCCTATTGAATTATAAACTTTGAAAACCATGGGTGTGTGCCAAATTTGAGATACAGTATCCATGCTGTGTAGAATAATTTATTTCATTAGTGATGCCCTGCAGAACAGGCTATTTCACTCATAAACCTTAATTTTTAGGTAATTCTTGAGCAATTCTTAATGTGCATATCTAGAAATAGGGAACACTACTTTTTACCTGTGGTGCATTTTGCTGGTAAAGATCTCATTATTATAACATTAAAAAGCATCTATAAATAAATATCAAAAGGACTTAAAAACATAGCTGCCAGACTCTTTTTTTTTACTGTCTTGCTTTAGAAAACCAAAATTCTGGTTTTGAAACCAAACTTGCAAGCAAAAGCTTGTGTCCTGTTATTACTTCTGCAGAAAAAGTATTTTTAAATTCACCTGGAATGCTTGAAGATCTTGGATACTGGGTGTCTTGCATTCTTGCCAAATGTTTGTTTGGCAATCATTTTGAATGATTTGAATTTGATTGTTTGAATGAAAGAACGGTTGTGGGATTTGGGTTTAGCTAGTCTAAAGAAAAGAAGAATTGGGGGTGGGGTGACATAATAGCACTATTCCACAAAGGACGGGGTCAAATTATTCTCCAAATCCCCGGAGGGCAGGACATGAAACAATGATTGGAAACTAATCAAAGAGAGAAGCAACCTGAAATTAAGGAGAAACTTCCTAACATTAAGGACAATTAACGAGTGGAACAGCTTGCCTCCAGAAATATCGGGTACTCCATCACTGGATGTTTTTAAGAAGAGTCTAGACAGTCAATTATCTGAAATAGTATAGGTTTTCCTGCTTGGACTGGAAGACCTCCAAGGTCCCGTCCAACTCAATTCATTCTATTCTCACAAAGCAGGTGCCCTTAGTCCTTGAAAGAGGAAGGCTGGGGCATATCAAACTAGAACCTTTAGCTCTGGGGACGACCCAGCCTGCATTCAAAGATTTGCCCCAGAGCAAGACAATAAATCTCTCTCTCTACAACTGTCAGCCAGTTGTAGAGATGGCGGAAGAATCAAGGATGAATCAAAGTCCTAATAATGAAGATCGGCTGCTATAAGATACAGCAACCCGGCTTGTTAAAATACATCAGGTCTTGGATGGAAATCTTATATCTCTTATCTTTACCAGAATCAGTGAGTTCCCTTTAGAGTTGCACATTTGATCTTGTCGCCATGCAGCTGTATTTAGGCATATATAATTATTATGCTTTTGTTTCTTATTTAGAAAAGTGCATTATTTCTTCCTAGGCCACTTTTGCATATTCTATCTTACAATAGCAGTCTACCCTTGCCCTTTCCTATATAAACTAACCACTGGACTAAGCTAAACTTTAAAAGACTGCTCAAAGACGACCCAAAACCAATTCAGAAGAATTCAGACTTCTGCTTTCTGTCTTGGCCCTGGATGTGGAGAACACCTGAATAGTTTGCCTCAGGCTATTCTATTTTATTGTGTTGTAAGCTGCCCAGAGTTGCTTCGATAGTGAGATCGGTAGCATATAAATTTAATAAATACCAAGAGTAGTGAGAGAGCCAGGGTAGCCTA